TCTTTTATAGACCCCATAAGGTGAGCAGCTTTGCTCTACCATGCTCCCTGCCGGGAAACACTATCTTGTTAGAGACCCAAATCAATCAACAGAGTAGCACTGTGGACTGAAACCGCTGAGAGCGTGAGCCCCAGTGAACTTTCCTCTGCTTAGACTGATTCATCTTGGGTATTTGTTAGAGCGACAGGACACGAAGCTGAGGTAACACCAACCTACTTACTCTTTCCCAACCACAGGAAAGCACTTCCGCACCTTGACTGGCCTCCATTGGGAAGTTTATCCGCCTCACCAAAAAGGAAGCACTAACCTCAATCATCTCCCTTACACACACACACACACACACACACACACACACACACACACACACACACGGCTGGGGTGGGGGAGGGCTGGGGATGGGATGGGACCAACCTCATCATCTTCTAAATGGCTTAAAGCGTTCAAAACAAAACCCACAGGGGTTGAGCCTGGATTTGGGTAAAATCTGCTCTCCGTCCTGTATCACAAATTTTCCAGAAAGATGGGGAACCCAAAGGTCTGGTGACTTTCTGAAAATAAATACTTTAAAAAAAAAATGACACCAGAGAGCAGAACACTTTATATCTCTAGAGCCCGTGCATCTTCCAGTCCTCCTGCCCTTGGCCTCAGGAGTGGCTGGGATTTCAAGGCGGTGCCACAGATAACACATTTCCACACCTCTGCACTCACTTCTCTGACAAAGGCTCCATCCACAGCCATCTGCCTAAAAAAGAAAACTCCAAGGACCAGGATCCCTGAATCCCCTGAGAATTACACCGAATAATTGTTTAAACTGTTTTTTTTTTTTCTTTCCTGTGCTGTTTTTGCTGCTGTATGCCTTTTCAGAATCCAAGTGTGTTATTTCCACCTGTGTGACCAGAGTCGGAGGACAGACACACACACGTTGTTCTCCATTGTACACATTCAATCCCAACTTTTCCCAGAGCAGGTGGGACATCTGCCCTGCCTGTGTCATCAAAGGCTATGGCCCTGGGAGGGCCAGTGAGGTCACCAGTCACTCCTTCTGTCCCTATTGTCTTTGCTCTGAGGAAGTCCTGCCTCTCCTCCTTCCGTCAGCTTCCTCCACAGACCACATTAGGACAGGCTCTCTCTACTCTGCTGAGCGATAACTGGAACTCACTGGAACACTTCCAAAAGACCTGCTGAGTGTGGAGGCTAGGACTAAACAAGATCACTTGCTTTACGCACTATGTTTCTTTCTCAGGAACCTAAAAATATGGTTTTTAGAAAAGTATTCAATGTAACCCACAGGGGACTCAGAGGTCATGTGTGATAAGGGTGGTTATTCCAACTGTATTTTCATTTAGGTGAATTGTTGTAGGCGGAGAATAACCAGGGCAAGTAAGCTCAGAGGGGTGGAAATGCATTATCTTATCAGCCAAGGTATTTATCAGCTGGGTAACTGAACTGACCAAAGTCCTCTATTATAAATGTACTGTATGGGCCCACCGCAAGGAGTATTTGCCCAGCATGTACAAGGCCCTGGGAATTATCTCCAACATTATAGTATACACACACACACACACACACACACTCACACACTCACACATGGGGTGGGGTACGGTCACACACCAACAAAAACTGGATTTCACAAAAATAAATTTGAAGTGAAAAGTTGATGCCGAGGCCAAACACAAAGGCGTGGGTTGCAGGGTTCATCATTACAGAGGGCGAGGAAAGGGATGTGGGGAAGCAGCAGGTAGTTCCTCCAAAAGGAGAAGATGATCCGGTGGATAGAGATGCTTGCCACCGAGCCTGGGACAGGACTTCCGTCCCTGGGACTGATAGAGTGAAAGGAGAGGGCCAGTTCCTGCAAGTTGTCCTTTGATCTCCAGGAAAGCGAGGTCCCTGAAGTCACTGAAGTCACTGAGACAGGAAATGGAATGGTGGCTGTTGCCATGAAGTGGCAGCAAGAGGAACGGGGAGTAGTGGTTGTGGGTATAGAGCCTCTTCTGAAAAAACAGTTGGGGAGGTGGGTGGTAGTGACGGTCACTGTCGAATTACTTCTGCCGTTATACCCCACACGAAGTCTGAATGGTTCAGAGTAAGCTCTGTGGTGGATTGTGGTGTCTGACACCACAATTTAATGTTTCCCCCTCAGGCTGGGGCTGTAGCTCAGGGTTAGGGCACTGACTTAGTAGGGGCAAGGTACTGAGCTGGACCTCAGGGCAGAGATCTCAGATTGGGGGTGGGGAGGGACCCACAAAAGTAGGGCTAAGGAAAAATAATCAGGCACACTGGGTCGTGATGCAGGCCAAGAGCTGGAGCTAGGAGAGGCATGATGAATGAGGCGGGCTCCGGCTGCAAGTCACAGAAAGCTAGCTGCAGAGAGGATTTGCAGACTTTTAGCATGTGGTTTGGGATTCTGGTATCTTTTCTGAATGCATTATCACACTTGAAAAGGTTGAGAAACTGCTATCAACAAAAATAGACAAGCAAGTCCACACAACCGGAAGATAATCTCGTCTATAAGTACGTACAAGAAGACAGTTAACTTCTGCCCATATTTGGCGCCCAGCTCTGATACTTGTCTTCATGGGCGCTTCTGCTCATGAGCAAGAACACCCCCCCCAGGGCGGCCGCAACTCCAAAGCGGGTTTTCTTTTTAAAACGGCCGCCCCCCCCCCCAGAGTTCTTTCCTCCAATGTCATTCCGCACAATCTGGCCTTTCTTCTCACAGTTTTGAACATGAGGGATCCCAGGGTACACCTTTGTGGGGATTAGTAATTCACAGGTGTGCCCTCACCTGAACCAGCCCCCAGCTTATCCACTAAGCAGGAACTTACTGGGCTGTTATTCCAAGTTCCCTCTCTCCCTGGCAGACTTTGGACTGGTTCCCAGATTGGGGCCCCTGAATGCCCCCCTTTCCCACAGCTAAAAGGTCCCTTTGCAAGTTTCTCGGCCATGTGCCTTGGCTCCATGGGCCTGTGTTCTCAGTCAGCTGCCCCCCACAGAGGTGATATCCCAGTTTGTCTCCCTCTGTCTTACCCACTGCTATAGCAAGCCACCCTTTCCACACACCCCAACACCCTGATCTGAGCTGCTTTCTCTACAAAGGGACCTAGATCTCCTTTCTCACTCCCAACTTTCTCCCCTGTGTTTCTTTCTACTTTGATCCCAATTCTTTCTGTCACCGGATCACAAGCCCCAATGCCTCCAAGAGCTCACTGAGGCCAGTTTACATTCCAGCACCATTCAGTCCTTTGAATCTAGTCTGTATACACAGAAATGACAATAATTGGGGGTGGAGGTGTAGCACCGAGGTGGGCGCTTGCCTAGCACGCACGAGGACTCAGGCTCCCTCTCCATCACCACCAATAGAAAGAAAGAGGGAAGAAAGGAGAGGGGAAACAATGACACTGATTTCTGTGACCTAGAAAAGCTGAGTCCTGCATCCACACACTGTCAGAGAATGCGCCTGACTTTACCAGGAAAGAAGCTTGGGTCAGTAGGACTGTGAACGTCCTACAAGCCTACAGGAATAGCAAAACTTTCAACCCTAGTATGCATGCACTCATATATGTACCCAGCCAGCCCCCCCAAAAATGAGAAATAGGGCTGGAGGGATGACTCAGCACTTAAGAGCACCCCAAGTTCAGTTTCCAGAGAACCCAAGCTCAGTTTCCAGCACTCAAATCAAGTGGCCATAGTCTGTACCCCCAGCTCTAGGACGCCCAATGCCTCTGACCTCCAAGGGTTACTACATACATGTGTACATATCCACATGCAGACACACACCTCTTCTTTTTTTTTAACATGATTGCAAATAGCAATAATAAATCCTTATAAAAATATAAGAAAATAAAACGCTGTGTTGAGCTGAGGGTGTGGCTCAGTAGCAGGGCGTTAATGTCGCAGGAATGATGCCACGGCTTCCACCCCAGCTCTGCCACAAAGGAAAAAAGGAGGAAGGGAGGGGGACGGCTGAGGCTGTGATGTAGCTTTAGCGTGAATAAGGATGGCACCATGTATGCACACATGCATAGACCGCACAAGGCACAAAGTTCAAAAGCAAGCTCAGTTGAGGAGAGCTTGTCTGGAATGAATGAGATCATAGGATCCATTCCCGGAGACATGAAAACAGACAGCAGCCAGTAGCTTGGGATTTTGGCTCAGGGGCAAAGGGCTCTGTGTGGTGTGTTGCTCATCGTTCTTGATGCTGTGACCGGACACATGAAGGAAGTAACTTAAGGGAGGAAAAATTTACGCCCTCTCTCAGTTTAGAGAAAGCAGTCCATCTGTCGAGGCAGGGCAGTTAACTGCACCTTGGTGGTGGAAGCACGGAGAGCAAGGCTCACACTGGGCATCTTAAACAGGATTGAGGACCGGAGAGCCGTGGATGGCAGCCTTCAAATACCTCTTACTTGACATCATCAAGCTAGGCCCCACCTAAAGGCTTCCCAGCCTCCCAAAGCAGAGTTACCTCCATGGGAGCAAGTGTTCAAATGTGGTCTGTGAGGGCCATTTCACATCCAGGAAGTGAACCCCGAGTTTAATCACCAACGTATACCCATGTTCACTTTCGTGCCCACCTTGAAGCGTGGAAATGCCAAGGAACAAGGCTTTGAGCTGGATACATGGAAGTCAGCCTGGATAGCATAGTAAGACTATGTTCAAACACAGACAGTGACATGGGAGATTTGTCATGCTCTCTAGTGTGCCAAGTGTCTCTGGAGGCCCACGTATTCTGCTGAAGTACAACCCTCCTGTGAGATGCCGTTGTCCCAGGACATATAATCCCCATCTTGTTGGCCCCTTCTGGCCACGGTTAGAACACTAAATCAAGAATCATGAAATATCAGAGACTTAAAGATATCTCCAGGACTGGAGGGGTGAGAGGACTTGCCTAGCATGCCCAAGGCCCTCCCTGGATCCCATCCCCTTGCTGCATGGAATAAATAATAATAAAATAATGGAACCTTTTGGTGTCTACTGGCTACACTTTTTTGCTTTAAACGTAGCATATAAGACCAGGGCCCATCACCAACTTTTGATTTTACTGCAAATTAAATAAAAGCAAACCCTGCCTCACCCAGCCAAAAAATCCAAAGAGCAGATGAGTGTCCTTCATCCCACACACCTTCTGGGGCACATGTCTCCAGGGTAGAAGTCGCTTTGTGTAACACGCTAGGAAGACAAAGGAGCTGAACAAGATGGAGAACATTTCCTAGAATCCCACGTTCCAACTTGGGCTTGGGGGCAGGGAGTGATCATGAAAGGATCCAAGCCGTAAGGCAGAAATTCTATTTATCATTTCTCTCTGCTCTACACCCTAAGTAAGTCAACACTAAAAGCTGGTTTTGCTCTGGACTTACCAACCCTTCATAGCTGAGAAGCAAGACTCCATGGGGCCAGTTAGGCACAAACAGAGACACACCAGGCTTTCAGCTGCTTCCAAAGCTACTTACAGTCTGCAGACAAACGAGCACCATTAGGCAACCAGAAACCAGAATTTCAGGTCAGTTCTGTCAAGAAGAGGAGGAGGAGGAGCAAAGGGGGAATGTGGGGGAGAAAAGAGATGAGAAAGAAAAGAGGAAGAAGAAACCTTGAAACCTTATAATTTTTTAAATTTAATTTATTTTTTTGTTTTTTGTGTGTTTGTTTTTTTGAGACAGGGTCTCACTGTTTGTTCTGGCTGTCCTGGAACTCACTATGTAGACCAGGCTAGCCTTGAACTCACAGAAATCTGCCTGTCTCTGCCTCCCAACTGTTGGGATGAAAGGCACCACCACCACCACCAGCAGCAGCAGCCCTTAACTGAATTTTTTCAAATTTGTTCATGATTATGATAAAAGTGTGGGGGTGGGGAGTGGGGGGTGATTCTATGAGTGGCCAAAGGATAAAGAATTGCTCATCTCCCAATGGCAAATTTTTATAACCCAAGCTCCAGATTTAAAAAAAAAAAAATGAAAAAACATTTTTTTCTCCCTTTCTACAAAGAGAAACTCAGGAAGGACAGAGCACTAACCCCCTTGTAAAACTGATGCTGGTGAATTCACACTCCGTCTCAGCAGCTCCACTTCCTGCCTCTCCATCACCCCTCCGTCCTGAAGGCAGAGATCAATGATTTGCCAGTCCCACAGAGAACTCCCTGCCGACCTCCCTCCCTCGTCTCAGTGACCACTGATCCCCAATTTCACAAAAGCTGAAGAAAATCCACTCCACACATTGTCTCAAGATGATACTTTCCCCAAGAAGCCTTACTCTGCAGGTCGTTCTAAATTCTAGCTTTTTCACCCTGCTCTCTGCCCAGCCAGCCAGTCACGGCGTGTATTCCCAGCACAGTCCCCTGAACCAGGTGAGTCCTCTTTCAGGTTGATTCCACCTCCTCTGGGGCCAGGCTTCCCAGCTTCCCAAACAGAAGCTTCCCAGGTTTTCTCCCGTACCTCTGACCTTTGTCCCTTTGAGTAAATGCTTGGTTCCTCTCTACACAGAACTGGACGCTGTCCAACCTGTGTCTCCAGGCCTTCAAGTATTCACCCAACAGATAATTTTGTAGAAAGGTCCATGTTTGCCTTTGGAGTTGGTTCTTTAGGTTCCTAAGGAAAGCTCAGGGGAGGGAACCCCCTGTCCACAGTTCTCGCCCCCCCCCCCCCCCCACCCCGGCCGGAAAAGGAAGCCCCTTTGTGTGCACAAAGCCTGATGACAACTGCTGGCCCTTGCCAGCACATTGTGCTTTCCCTTCCCTAACATAGGGAGCTGCTAGGAATCACAGATCTAAAAAAAAAGGATCTGTCCCTTTCGAAGACAGCAGGGTCGTTAAGGCCACATAAACACTACTATGGGTTATTTCGGGTCCAGCAGTGAAACTTTGGACGAGTCTTTTCTCTCTGAGCCAGCCACACCAGAACCGCTTGACTTTTGACATCTTTTCCTTGTGATGCAAAACGGCTGACTCTTTCAGCAGTTGTAGGGAAAAGGGCCTGCTACCCAAAGGAAGGAAACCCCCACCACAGACCCTGCAGGAAGGAAGGCCAGCGCCTGGTACCAGGCCCAGCCTGGGAACTCACAGGCAGGAGGCCGTTAGAGGGCAGCAAGCGTCTGTCTTGGAGTTCAGGCACCAAGCGGCATATTTTTCCCCCCTCTCCCTTCTCTCCTTTCAATTACAGGGTGTCTCTAAGGGCAAAACACCAGGGCTTCAGCGTCAGCAGAAATACAAGTTGGAAAGACCCAAGGTGGTGGAAAGAGAGGCAGCCTCCAATCCCCAGCATAGCTCTTGGCAAAGTCGGGTGGTGGCTGTGCAGGTCTCACCCCTACTGTCCCGAGAACCCCTTGGGCCCAAGACCCAAGAGACACCCCCCCCCCTTACTTTACCCCTGGGAGAGCCAGCGCTGCTGTTTAGAGAGCCAGTGGGGAGCTTGGGCATTCGGCTCTTTGTGTCACTTCGCTCCTTGGCCTCCTGGAACTGTAGGACAAAGGAGAGCCTGGGAGCTGCCAGCAGCCTGAGGGCACCACTGGGTTTGACAAGGAAGAATGAAACCTGATTCCAGCCAACGGGACACGTCGTTGTGCTGGTCTGTGAGGTGACCCAGTTCTGAGACCTGCCGCTTGGCTCTGAGCACACTCTATCTATCACACTTCCCGCTCGCACCCCTAGGCCTCCGAGGTAAGAATGAACGTGGCAGGTAAGAACGTGGCATCCTTCCACCCGACAAACAAGAGTTGCCACTGGGTGCCCCATGCTGCAGCAGCTGCACATTCAAAGGCAGCCGCGAATGAGCAGCCGCGAATGGTCCCCTGCCTCTCCTCCCGCCCAGGCTCCTTTTTATGTTTTACCATGGATTCTACCCCGGGAATGCTCTGGCCTCTAAGCAGAGCCTGGGTCAGGGATGGGCCTGGCCTGGGTGCAGGTTGCAGCAAGCGAAGGTCTGGTGCAATCTGGTTACTCATTTCCTCCCCCCGGCCCCCCCCCCCCCCGGGGGACAACCCTGATTCAAAGTCACCTGATTGGAAGACCTTCACATGACAGGCTCTGGTCCAAAATGCCTGGGCAGATTCAAGTGTCAAGCTGAAGGTGACAGGTTACCACATCCCAGCGCTGAGCTCTCACCCGGCCGAGCAGCGGCTCCATCAGGGTGTTGCATTCACCTCCTTCCCAGCACCTGGTCTCATTTACACCCTGTTGAGGAGAGATCCTTCCGCCCTGGCCTTGAACACAGCAGGTGACCTAACCTTCATCTAGTCCCCCACTTGAATCTGTCTCCACACCGGACGTTTCTTGGTCAAGTGATTGTTAAACACGATTCTCAATTATTTCACTGGCAACCCCCACTTCTCTGTGAAGTCCCACTAGGTCCAAGTCTTTCTGAGCCCTGATGCTGCCCCAGGACTCTCCTCTGAGCCTTCAGTTTCAAGACTTAAGTCAACTTGAAAGAACCTCAGGGACTGGGGTATAGATAGACCCATCGCTCGCAGTAAAATACAATGACTTGTAACCGAACGGAGGACTTCGTTGTCACCAGGAGGCTTTCTAACTTCCTTTAGCAGTGGACTCGGTATTCAGACTAAATTTCCCATGGACAACCATTAAAGACTCTACAAAACCAAAGGAATTCGGATCTCCCTCTATATTAAAGACTGAACCGTATCTTTGGCTGTTGACACCAGAAATGATGGGGGCCTCATCATTCCTCTCATTGCCTCATTCACTGCTGCTGTCATTAAAAACCCAAACTGATGCTTGTAGCTTTGAACAACAACAAAAAAAAATACTTATAGGATTTTTTATATGAATACTTATAGGATTTTTTTTCAGCACTTTGACGTTTCTGGGAGCCTTCTGTGCCCTCCAAACAACAAACCATCCCGAAAGAATATTCCCAGCTACCACCTCTGCAGCCTCCGCAGTCCGTATCAAACAACCGTGCAAGGGTCTCTGCACTGTTAGGTGCCTGATCCCCACTCACCATGGAGGCTTCATCCTTTATTGCCATGTTTTGGGTTCATTCTTCGCTTCCCTGAACTGCCTTCCTCATTTCTAAGGCGACAGTGCTCATAGCAACCAGCTCAACATGTTTCTGTAGGGATTGAGTAAGATGATGCACATAAAATACTGAGTACCACGTCCACAGCTAACAGTGAGTAATGACTATTGTTATCATCAGCAGTTCCTACCCGTATTAGCTATAGGACCTTAGGGGAGAGAGCTCAGCAGATAAATTGCTAGCTGTGCAAGCATGAAGCCCTGAGTTTGAATCTCTGGCCCCCACATACAAGCCAGGTGTGGTGGCACGCACCTGTAATCTCAGTGCTGGGAAGGGCGAGACAGTCAGATCTCTGGAGCTTTCTGGTCAACCATGCTAACTGAATCAGTGAGCTTCAGGTTCAGTGAGAAATCATCTCAAGAAATAAGGGTTGGAGAGATGGCTCAGCTGTTAAAGGCGATAGTTGTTCTCTTGTGGAGGAGGATGGGAGTTTAGCTTTCAGCACCCATGCCAGGAGGATCACAACTGCAAGAAATGCCGGTCCCAAGGACCCAGAGCTCTCTGCGGATCTCCTCCCACCCTGCACTCAGCATTTACAAAGTCACACTCAGATATACATATATACACTTAAAAAAACTAAAGTAAAAAGAAGAAAAGAGGTGAAAAGAAGAAGTGAATGAGTTTAAGGCTATCCTGGACTACTTAATGAAATCATATCTCAAACAAATAAATACCTAAAGACAATCTGGATTAACAAAAAATAGGGTTCAAAACATACTATATACAAAAGAATAAGGATGACAGAGACTGAAGAAGACATATGGTCTTGACCTCTGGCCACCATACATACCTGGGTGCGCGCACGCGCGCACGCACACATACACACACACACACACACACACACACACACACACACACACACACACACCACGAAGAATTACCAGCATCTTCTTCAACTGCCTACCAATATTTGATTTATTTTGAAAAACTATACCAATCCCTCAATTTTTTTTTAAACAAAAGGTACATATTTCTCCAGGAAGCAGCCTGCTCCATCTTTAGATAACTTTGTCTGTCGCCAAACACATCTTTTCAGTAAAAGGATGAAGTCAAACTTATTGGAGCTGATGGTCTGACTTCTACAATTCTTGAAAGGCTGGTACATCCTTTTACTACGCAAACTAGCCATCCCCGTTCTTCCCACCAGCTCTGGTTGCTTTTGACTGACTTCCACGGCTCTGCCCCTCCTTTGGTGTGGTGTATGACCCGCCCATCTCACTCCAAACCTTGTCCTTCTTTAGTGCTGTTCCATCTCAGATACGCTTGAGAAAGGGGCTGAGGCTCTAATTACAGAGGTCTCTTTTTTACCCTACTTTCAACTACAGCAATTAAACGATTTTTTTTTTCTCTCCCTGCTCAGCTGCACCTGCCCTGTTCTGGACTTGTGCAGCTTATCTTCCCACTTAAGGGAAGAGTAAGCCTATCTTTTTTTCCTCCCAGGATGCTTTTGGTGTCTGCTTCTGGCACCCCACGTGTGTGATTGTCTTTCATTATTGAGCAACCAACAAACTTGGGAAAGTGTGACCTTTCTAACTTTGTGTTGGGGACATATGATGAAAGTATTAGACAAAACAGAGCCAGGAAGCCCTACACCTCTTTCTGGAAGTAACTTCCCTCAGGCTGCTTCCACTCACCGCCCACTGACTCTGAAGTCTCTTCTACCTCATCTTGGTCTTAGCAAGGAATGTCTAGGAAGATGGGGAAGCCCTCACACAGAAGGAGACAGAGATGTCCGTACTGGGTGGGAGTAGGGTAATAAGTTGAAAGTACAACAAAAAGAAAATGGGCAAAACAGAGACAGCAGGAAGTGGGAGAATCGGGATATACTTGGTAAGTCCAAAAGTGGGAGGAGACTGGAGAGATGGCTCAGCAAGTAAGAGCACCCACAGACTCTTCCAGAGGACCCAGGTTTGACTCCCAGCACCCACATGAAGGCTCACAATCATTTGGATCTAAGGGCACAAGGGACATGACCAGTGCCCAGATAGAAATGGAGGCAAAACAACCATACACGAAAAAATGAATATCTTTTTAAAGAGAAGAAGAAGAAAGTGTAGGGGCAAGCAGACAGGGATTTACAGAAGAGTTTTACAAAAAATACATCTAAGCTAAGGTGGATGATGAGAAAGAAAAAACCGTGGCTGGGTACCTGAACAGCCATGGTACCCCTATGACTGAGAGCTTTCTAGGATTTGGGCATGTCCACTGAGGCAACTGAGAATGACCTCATGCAGACCAGGCAGAGCTTCCCAACCAAGACACATATTGGTTCTCAACACTTTCATCCACGGAAGGATGTTTTCACTTCTTGAAAACCTCCAGGCACAGGAAAGACACACCAGGCTTCACTTGGCACACCTGCCTTTCAAGGGCAAGATGGATCTAAAATAAGCCTTGATGGTAAGCCAGGATCCTACCGCACTTTGAAGCTCCAGCTTCGCTGCTTGAAACCCAACAGAAGCCCAGCATAGTCTCACCCGAGGCTCTTAACATGTGGAAAAGGCAGCCTTGTGCTGGCGTATGTGGGAACTTCTGAACACAGAGATTCACACATTCTGTGAACCAGCCTGGGGTTTGAATGTCTCCCTAAGAAGCTCATGTGTTTGGGGGACTCCTGGAGGTGAGTCCTTTGGAAGATAAGCTTTGATGACATCATGAAGGTGAAGCTCCAAGGTGGAATTTATAGTTTTGTAAGATAGAGAGCATTGGATGTAGTGGAATACACACACGAATCCCTGAGTGCTTGGGAAATAGTCAGGAGATCAGAAATTAAGAGCTATCCTCAGCTACATAGCCTAGGCTGTAGATCTGGGGGGGGGGGGCAAGGGAGGCAAGGGATCAGAGCTGGCACACTTGCTGTGCAGCGTTTCACAATGTTACAAAGAGGCATTAGAAGCCCCCCCACCGGGTGCTAGTACCTGGATACTGCAAGTCTCAGCCTTCAGAACAGAGAGCTAAACACCCCTCTCCTTTGTACGAACTGCCTGACCTTTCGTTTTCAGTTATGGCAATAAGACACCAAGACAGTAGCACTGGCATCAGAAGCAGGTCTTAGCCAAGTTCCAAATCCAGTGTCAAGAGAGGTGACTCCGAGGCACAAGCAGCCAGCAGCAGTGTATTTGATGATGGTGTGGAGCCTGGATGAGCCACCTGTGCAACCTTGGGGCGGGGCGGTGGGGGAATGGAGTAACTCTAGGTCAGAATCTCTTCTGAAAACAGAATAAATTTGATGCTGTCTTAGTTTGGTTTCTGTTGTCATACCCCATCATGGAGGAGGGCAGGGCAGGAACACGGCGGAAACCTGGAGGCTGGCACTAAAGCACAGGTCTTGGTAGAATGCTGCTTACTGGCTTGCTCTGCACACTCAAGTTCAGCTAACTCTCTTATACCTACCAGGGCCACCTGCCTAGGGGTTGTACCACCCACGGTGGCCTGGGTTCCTTACCAACCATTTGTCAAGACAATACCCCCACAGACTTGCCTGTAGGCCAATCTGAAGGAGGCAGTTCCTCAGTTGAAGTTCATTCTTCCCAGGTGACTATAGCTAGTGTAACAATGACAAACGGTTGCCAGCAAAGACGCTAATGGCTATTGTTTATTTCTGTGAGATTTCTGAGTTGCTCTATGGGAGGATGGAGCCCTTCTTACACATACCTTGCATATCATTTCATACTCATTAAAGTGGTTTTGTGCTTTCAGTATTCTAGTAGCTCCAGAATCCCATGAAACCAACATGTATGTGTGTACGCCCACGTGCATGTGTGGATGCATGTGCAATGTGACTGTGCATGGAGGCCAAGAGGTTGATATCAAGTCCCCTCCTTAACTGTTCTGCACATTATTTTGAAGACGGTGTCGCTCACTAAGCCCAGAGAACACCATTGGCTTAGACTGCCTTGCTAGTGAGCTCTGGTGTTGTCACCCCGCCATTAGTGCTAGGTTTGGGGCTCAGTGCATGACTTTCCGTCGGTGCTGCTCCTCGTGTGTGGATAGCAAGCCCTCTACCGATTAGACTATCTTCCCAGCCCCGTACATTTAAATTTTCTTATTTGTAATATAAGACCCATTCTACTTAAAATCCCTGCATTTTGTTGCAGAGTCCCATTATGAGGAAAGATCAACCTTGTCCCCAATACCAGTAAATAAGTCTTCATTAGTCTAACGCAATTCTGTTAATTTTATTCTCATCTACTAATTAGTGTAGGAAGTGATGGAGTCACCTCTTTGGGAATATGAGGTCGTGAGGGAAAATTGACCGAGGATGGTGTGGGTTTTTGGGAAATAGTCCACAGCTTTGCAGTTAGAGCAACAGCTAGACCTCACTCAGTGTGCCTAGGAAGAAGAGGCAGGTTCTTGAGTTCAAGGCCTGCCTGCTTGGACTACAGAGTATGTTCAAGGCCAGCAGGGCAATTTAGTAAGATGTTGCCTTCAAAATAAAAGGCAAAAGGGAGTGGCTCTTACGCTGTCTCCCAGTCCCCTATATTGTCTCCCCATCACCTGTATTGTCTTCAGTCACCTGTATTGTCTCCAGTCACCTGTATTGTCTCCCCATCACCTGTATTGTCTCCAGTCACCTATATTGTCTCCAGTCACCTGTACTGTCTCCAGTCACCTGTATTGTCCCCAGTCACCTGTAGTGTCTCCAGTCACCTGTATTGTCTCCAGTCACCTGTAGTGTCTCCTGTCACCTGTAGTGTCTCCAGTCACCTGTATTGTCTCCTGTCACCTGTATTGTCTCCCGTCACCTGTATTGTCTCCAGTCACCTGTAGTGTCTCCAGTCACCTGTAGTGTCTCCAGTCACCTGTAGTGTCTCCAGTCACCTGTATTGTCTCCTGTCACCTGTATTGTCTCCAGTCACCTGTATTGTCTCGTCACCTGTATTGTCTCCTGTCACCTGTATTGTCTCCAGTCACCTGTATTGTCTCCCATCACCTGTATTGTCTCCCGTCACCTGTAGTGTCTCCAGTCACCTGTATTGTCTCCCATCACCTGTATTGTCTCCCGTCACCTGTATTGTCTCCCGTCACCTGTATTGTCTCCAGTCACCTGTAGTGTCTCCCGTCACCTGTAGTGTCTCCAGTCACCTGTAGTGTCTCCCAGTCACCTGTACTGTCTCCCGTCACCTGTATTGTCCCCAGTCACCTGTAGTGTCTCCCAGTCACCTGTACTGTCTCCAGTCACCTGTACTGTCTCCAGTCACTTATATTCTCTCCCAGTCATCTGTCTGCCAGTCATCTGTGAGAAGGCTCCCAAACTGGAGAGGAAATCCAAAAACCCAGTCTTGGGAATGATCTAGATAATCTACAAATGCTAAACAAGATAGGGTCAGAGGCTGCAGATGTGCCCCACCCCTTGCTGTGGGCTCCATCTTATAAGGGATGTGTATACTCAGAAGGGGATGGAGGTTCACAGGTGGAACAAAAAAGGATGCCCTCCTGGGACCAAACAGTGTAAGCCAAGCAGGGCTCCATATTAAACCACTGTTATCCCACCCCCACTCCACAACCAGGGTGACATCCAGCTGTTCCAGCGCATCTGTCCTGGCTTCAGGCACACAAGTGCACTGTTTAGCTCTACAATATGAGCTTGCATCTGTTTTCGGCTTTGTTTGGCAGGAGGAGGAATCTTCTTGAGTCATTTTATATGAAGAATGAACAGAACTAAACATTTGCTACTATTTAATTCGAAGAAATGGAAACCTAGTTTCACGTAAAATGAAAATTTCATGAGGCAGAAGCATGAAGAGAATGGGAGACCACAACCTGTGTCCTTATCCATGAACATGGGAGGGAACCACCTAATCATTGACATAGTAATGGGTCAT